ACCGCTCTTTTGAGTGTTTGCCACGCAAGCCGCTCAGCACCTTGTAACCCGCTGCCTCGGGCTGTCGTTATTTTTTTTATTTTTCCTTGCCGTGAGCGTGAGGACCGCGGCCGGATATGCGGGCGGGCGGGCGAAACGGGCTGGCGGACATTCTCTCGCGCTTATTTCGCTCTTATGTGATATACCACACTCATCAGTGGCTTTTTGGTGTCAATTGTGTTAGCTGCATCTGACAACGTGCGGAGACCATCAAGCGATATGCAAGACATTTTGAGCGCCTGACCTGCCCCATCCTGCAGTCAGTCTCCTGCAGTAGTAGGGCCACTCACTACCCAAGGCTAGTATTATCTAGCATCTAGCCCTACTGCGATCGCTGGGGCCGTCTTGTCGGACCAGGCCCCCGGATCGTCGGTTATTGCTGTTAGTCTTTTGCTTTTTGGCCCCCAGCTGTCCAGTACCCGAGCAACCCAGCGAGGAGTGACGACGTCGGGCTCGAGTTGGTTCCTTCAGTGTGCAGGGCCCAGACCGGATCCAGGTACACGGTGCATGAAGGCGTAGTCACGGGGGTTGGAGGAGAGCGATGGGGAAGGCAGGGGAGGGAAGGAGAGGGGGGCAGGTGTTGGTTTTGTCGGGTCCCCGACCGACGGGTGGTCAGATTTGGGGCCCTGTGCAATGCCAGATGTGGCGTCGCCCATCCCGCAGGAACGTGGTGTCTTTCGATTTGCCCGCCCATGTGCTTACGCCCTTTCTGTCCTGTTTGATCGGCATGACGGCTTGGGTTGGCTTGCTCGCTTGCTCGCCTGCTTCTCTTGTGGGGTGATTTGATCTTGGACCGGAAGCAATCCAGGTCGGAAGGATTGTGTGGCTTGGGGGAGAGGGAAGGAACACATGGTAAGTATGTAGGTAGACGTCAGATGTCAGCAGCCCGCGGAGCCGGAGGATTGTCGGTCGGATGGGGGATGGCTGACGACTTTCTGTGTGTGCTTCTGGCGTTCCGAGCACCGGGAGCGGGTGAGTCGGAACGTTTTTTTCCCTTGCTTTTCTTTTCTTTTTCTCTCTCCCCTCTTGTCTTGTCTTACTTGCACATGGTCGGTCTGCTTGCCTGCCCTGCACTGCCTTGCCTTGTGCTACCACACAGCCAAGCACGCGCGTGCTGGGCGGACGCTGCTGCTGCCGCTGCATCATGTTGCATGCTGCTACTTGGCTGGGCTACTACTGCTGCTCGGCCCGAGGACGGGGGAAGTCCCGCATGGGATGCCTGGGGGGTTGGGTGGGTGTGGATGGACTGACCTGCTAGCGGTGACTTGACCGACCTCGATGCTTGTCTCAGAATATTTAATATATAAACGAGAGAGACTGCATGCGTGCATGTGTGTGTGTGTGTGTGTCTGTGTGGGCTTGTTTCTTTTCTCGTCATCACTTTATCGTGCGTCTGCCTTGCTGCCCGTTGCTATGTATGCTGCCATGTGGTGAGGTCCCCGGGGTGGTGTCTCCTCACGTGTGACTTGGTTGTTCCTCGGGCATGTGGCTGATGGGCCGCAGGCAGGCGGGCCCGTATGTGCAGCCGTTGCGGTTGCATGTTGTTTTGCCGTGTGTTTGCGTGTGTGTGTGTGTGTGTGTGTGCTCCAGTGTGTGGGTCTGTTCCGTCCGTGGTGGCGGTGGCGGTCAGGGCTCTGGAGGTCCTACTGGCTCGACGAGCGGCTTTTGTTTTGGTTGGGCTGGGTTGTTTAATCTGCGCATCGAGATGTGCTGCGTGTGGCGTTGCCTGCTTGGTGTTCAGGGTTGGGTTGGAGCTTTGCAGGCTTGCTTGCCCGTGGGCGGGTGGTTGTTGGAAGGAGGGGGGGGGAGGGACTGCGCGTCGGTAAGTAGTATCTGTCAGGAGGCCGGGGGTCAGGCGGGTGATGGGTGGGTGCTTGGGGTGTGAGTGTGGGTGTTGATGCAGTGTTAGACGGGGGGGCTCGTGTGGAGATGAGATGAGGTGAGGGAGGCCACGACAGACAGACAGGCTCCGGAGATGCTCTTCTGCTGTGCTGCCGTTCATGCTGTGTCTCGGCTCGGCTTCGGCTTCCGTCCCCGCGGGCACGTAGGTAGGTAGGCAGGTAACTAGGTCGGCGGCGGGTCTTGTGTATCGCGGCCCCTGGTGTGGTGTTGTGAGATGGACATGGGTTTTGTGAAGTATGTATGGGGAAGGAGGTAGGTTGGTGGGGATCTAGGTAGAGCCGCGTCGGATATCCCTGTTCTGTCACTCTCCCTTTGTTCCGTGACTTCAGGAGGATGTGGGCTGGATGTGTGGATGGATGGCGACGGTCATGTGGAAGGTGGGGGGGGGGGGCAGGTTTCTAATGGGCGGTGTTGCGGGATTGATATGGTCCTCAAGCTTGAGGAGATGCGTATGGGTGTTTCTGTGGAGATGGGGGTTGCCCGGAGTCTGGATGATACTTGAGGGATGTTGATGTTGTAGAGTTGTTGTTGATTTGGTCAATCTTGGACCTCATGGTCTAATGATAAATCCATCGTAGGTGACTGTGCCGCATGATACTTGGTCTTCTGTCATGGGTGTAGTTTTGAGTGTTGATAAGGACGAACTCGAATTTGGATCTGAGGGATGGAATTAATAAACTGTGATTTTTTGAAAAGAGTCGCTTTCTCTTCTCACTGCGCTGTTGAGATTTCCTCTGCGTCAAGGACAGTCTTGAGTTACGAGACTAACAATATGATTTAACTTTTACACTGACGCTCTTACTCGAATTGCGGTTTCAAGCGAAGTGAGTTTATCTTAGCATGATGGCTCAGAATATGCGTAATGCGACATAATTACTGAGCTAAGATATGTCTTATTCAAAGGATGAAACACAATGGAACACGAAACCTCAGCCCAGAATTACACCACCGAGGACGAAGACGAGCCGTGGAATTTGTGCAATGTCCAATAGCTTATTACGCTTCACCCTTCCCGGACCGCAAGGGCTTTAAAGGCACATACTACTTTGATTAGATAGAGTATTATCGCACATTGTAAACGAGGCGTGCAAATTCCCGGTCTCTTGGGAAGAAGTCGACGCAATCTACCAGAAGTGTGAAGATTCTTCAGCCCGTCGGCCGAGCCGAAAGACTCTGGAGAACATTTTCAAATTGGAATGAGAAGAAACTCCTTGCTTCGATGGGTGAATATGTCTCAGCCAGGGCCATCAAGTTGAACATGGTCGGTTAGCCAGCTTGGCTGGCATGTATAATGTGACCCATGCGCATCATCCTCAGTGATATCTGGAGACCGTGGCCAATGTCTCAGGGTTGCATTATTCAGGACCGATGGCCAGAATCTCTACTTCTCGCACAGGCTGGACGGGGACGGCAACATCTGTGGTTGGTTGAGCTCTTTGCCTCCCCTTTTGTGCCATAGAGTCATTGGGCTCATGATAGTACGAAAACAAGTTTCATCGTTTTTGGTAATGTAAGTGTCTGTTTAGTCAACTGGTGCGATGTGGTTTCCTGACGTTGTACCAATTTAGCCCAGCCACGAGTAGAACTCTTTTCCGTGGGCGTGCCATCTGTCAAGGTTTTGTGGCCCTCAGGTGGTGGTGGTGGTGGTGAACTGTGGCTGGTTGAAATATCAATTGCTGACGCTACTCACAAATGCAATAATTAGACTTTAAGTGGCAACCGGACTCGTGCGTGCTAAACCGACCCGAGCTGCTCTCAAAAGAACTTCGCAGCACCCAATGTTTAACTGGATAAACTACCCGACCACACATCATGGCGAGCATGGCTTCTCATTGCACCATGTCAGGTGCATCAATACCTCCATATGTCCTCCAAAGACGTCCAGGCTGAAGCAACCTCCCCCTGCGCCTGTCTCGTGTTGCATGAGAGTCGTGTGCCCATCATTCCGAGCTGCGCACACAATATCGAGCAGCCACAAGCTCCTGGGGTAGTGGAGGCTGAGAATGTCCGTCTTCTCGCCCGCAGAGCACATGGAACCGCCGAACCAGGGCTGGCGCGTGCTACCCCCGGCCCTGCCAAATCATTGTCGATCAAAACGCCAACCTCGGTCCCGGAAATCTCCCTTCCCATAATATCGGTCGTGTCGTGCCTTCGTGTCGTGCCTTGACCTCCCCGCGGCCCGGGTCGCGCCCCAGCTATCCCACCACCATCATCACACTCGTACATGCACGCCGCTCGCCTTGGGGAGGGAGGCGCTGGCGTGTACGTGGCGCCCGTGGACGCCGCCGCTGACATGGCCCCTGCGCTACTTGAAGCAGTTGAAGCGGCCGAGGGAGAAGCGCCAGGGCCCGCGGCGGACGCCGTGCCGGTCCGCGTTGACGCTGGTGCCGAAGTGCTTCCCGCCGAAGGCTTTGTCTAGTGGTGAAGTTAGTCCTGCTACGGGTCCTAAAGTGTTGTATTCTGGAACATTCCAAAACATGAAAGACGGGGATCCGTAAAAGGTGAAAAGTGATACTGACGGTAGATGAGAGGCATGTTGTGCTTGGGGTGGACTTGGCGTCTCTAGGTCGTGGTAGTTGTGTGTAGATGTTTTGACTGTGGTCTGGAAGTGGTTCGAGTCAGTGGTGCTCGGTGAGAATGGTGAGATGCTCAGGGGGGTGTCGCTGGATACCTTTTTATGTGGCTGTTGTGTACTTAGGTATGGAGTTCTAGGTTCAAATGTTGATGTTCAGGTAAAGGTATTTCAGGGCGATGGTATAACTAAGTCAGCAGGAGAGCAGGGAGGTTGTTAAAGTATGTGGAGGTGATAAAGTCAGGCCGTTGAGGCAGCCCGTTTCCATGGCAGTGGCTGGTTGCGTCATTGTGAAGCAAAGCAGGGAAGCCCGCCTCGAGATGTTCCCTGCACATTGACGCCGGCGTGCCTTGGCAGGTGTGACCAGCATCACGGGCCCTGCACAGTTGGATGGACGGTGCACGGTCTCTTTCTTAGCCAGCATATACCACAGTCACATCATCTCATATAACAATCTGAATATTCGATTTAAAGTTTAACTGCGCCCCGTGAGTCCAGCGTCGTTGTTTGCCCCCACGATGCTGCCATCGCCAAGACGTCCTTGGCGACGCTTGCACCCGCCGCTGTTCGCCTCGTCAACACCGGGGTTGGTCCCACGGGGTGTCATCAGGACATTCAGAATTTCAGGGTTTGCTAAATGCTACCGTTCCCGGACGGGCCACTTCATTTTCTGATGCCGAATCTTGCTTTGCTCTCTGGATGTTGGCGACCTGGTCATCCGGCTTGATGGCCGATGGTAATAAATTGAGGCCACAGTAGATATGGAAGTGAACACAACAAATTATTGGCATTAATCTGTAATCATTCCGTGCTGCCAGGACAAGAATACTTGCTGGCCTCCCGAGAAAGCAGTTGAGCTCATCCCTTTGGATGAGAAGAGACGAGCTCATTTGCCACAGATGAAAAAGTATTTTGCCAGCTTCCCGGCCGACCGTTGCGTTTTGGGCTCTTCAATGTCTAATTCAAGTTGCCTCGTAGTCGAAGTTGTAGTGGGGGGGACTCTTGCCCTGGCTTTCTCCCTTCTCGTCCGCACCCACATTTGCGCTACGCTTGGGAGACCACCTGGAGTCTCAGACTCTCGGACGAATCTTCTGGGAGCTGGGGGGCCGAATACGAGAGAAGCATTCTGAGCCTGCGATGCGACGTTGTTGGAGGTATCCCGCCTTAGTCCAGTCACCTTCTCAAACTGCTCCTCGTCGATGAGGTGGATTCGCAGGGCCCCCTCGTAGTACTCGTACCATTGTTCCGGGTTGTCATCCAGTGTGAATTTCTGCCTGACAAGACCCCCGGGACATATATCCATCAGATGCTGTTCTTCGCTAGTTGTTGCGGTCACGGGGCTTAGAACCTGAGTGGTTTCCCATCTCGACCGTATTCGAGAGCTTACCAATCTATGACGGGGGGGCTCTGGTGCATGTTGATGAAGGGGTTGCGTATGTTGTGGAAGGGGTCGTGCATGTTCATGAAGGGATGCATGTTGATGAATGGGTCGTGCATGTTGATGAAGGGGTCGTGTAAGTTGACGAAGGGGTCGTGGAAGTCGAGAAGTGCGCCGTGCTCGGTCGATTGCGAGCTCAATACTTTCTGCATGTGACATATCGTCTGACATCTCATCAGACGTGAGCCCTTCTTCATGTGATTGGGGTGAAGTCCGTTCATCTACTAATATACCAGTCCTGGGCCTTAATCTCTCGCCAATGAGCAAGTACAAGTCTCTCGTGGCGGCGCAGATGCCAAACAATTCCAGAGGATAGACTGTCAACGGTAGATGTGAGCGCACTTCCCAGTAAAACCCATCAGGGTTGAGTACATACCGTCTCCGAGCTCTGTCCCAGCCAAGAAGACTCTTTGCATATTTATAGGTATGCCTTCTTGTTCTTCAATCCTCATCTTCAGGTCTTCCACGAGGTCCTTACCGTGCATATTCCGAACGTGGATGGGAATGAAATTAGATCCCGCGAGGTGAACTTCGAAGCCGCCAGGGATCGAGTGCCTTTTTGGAGGAATGGAGACCAGTTTATTGGTCTCTGGTTCCTTGACTGCATCCCCAGTGACAGTTTCCTCCCCATCAGTGGTAGGCAGAGTAGAAGCTGCGAGGCTTGCATCTTCGGCTGAAGTGCTTTGGAGGATATGCGTATAGGAAGTTCCAGAGGACTGTTGTTCATTTGCCTGAATATCACATGTGCCCGTGGCTTCATAGGACCTCCTAAGGAGTTTACCATCAGTAGTGCATCACCATTTTGCTGTTCGAAGAAATTGGGACCCGCTGCTGATTCCGTGGTGGACTTACTTGCGTGATGATATCTGTACTTCCACGCACTTGATCGTGTCGTCTTTGGAAAGCACAGAAGCAAGCGAGAATCTTTAATCCATGTTGAATTAATTAGCGAAGCATGAGACGTAACAAAATAAACCCCCACATACCCTGACTTGCCCTTCAGGAGTTGGAATTGCCGTACTATGCATGGATCACTGGCAAAGCGTGTACCGTACACCCACTCGTGTGCAGGCGCAACAAAATAGTCCTGGCGAATCCCTATCGGCGTTGGCCGTGCCACGTTGACGCCACCAGCGAAAACTTGGTACTTGTACATCGAATCAGATGCCACATTGAAGACTCGTAACGACACAGCGGTGCCTCCTAGACGCTTGGTTAATATTCCCATACTAGCCCCTAGAACCACAAAGTGAGAGGGCCATAAAGTGAGCGGCAGGATGACGGAACGCGTCAGAGTGCGGACGAGTGATGGGGCATGAGGAACAGATATGAGATGTTGGAAAACTTTACTTTTGACGGGAACGAGGAAGTCGAGCGCAAATGGATCATGTCTGGTGGTCGAGGGAGGCGTCCATTTGCTTGTCATTTGTGCATCGAAAAATTGAAGCGCCACATGTCTGTCATCGTCGATATCATGGATTCGTTGGTGGTTTACGACAGGCTTGTCTTCAACACGCGGCGTTTGATAAATACCCACGCTGAGGGCCTCTCTTTGGTTGTGCTGTATCTGGATGCAGTCTTGGACGATCTTGCCGACTAACCGGCTGGGCCCGGCTTGCTGTGCATGGCCGTCAGAGCTGTCCATGTCTCTGATAATACTGCCGAGGACCAGCTCTCACAAACGAGGGTACCAGGCTTGCATTTGATGAGGCGAGTTGTGCGAAAATTGGCCACTTTTGAGAGAGGAAGAAGTGGCGGCATCCCATGGCTGGGTTCTCTTGAGTTTAATCCTTCGCGTTGCTGTGCGACCCGAAATCCTACTTAGAGCACTGCAGTGTAACCTCAATGGACAGTAGACACAAGTTGAGGCTGTGTTGCTCCAATTCATGTGTCTCCCGGAGCCGAAAATAGTTGCGCAAAGGCGTAAGCGCTACCCCGGCTCAGCTGAAGACTGACTGCTACCATTGGTTCAAGTTTCTGCCCCCTCATGCGGAAAACCGGTCCGCACTGCTGCCTAAAGATTTTGTCTCTCTAGAATATGGGATTTGCATATGTGCGACATTATCACAGTTTCGAGGAGGATGCTGCGCTGAAGTGCTCGCTGGCCTGGCTATTCCCACTCCCTCAAACCACTGCCAGGGTCTTTTGCCGTGTCATCCACATCAAACATGGCTGATGGGGACAGCGCGCTCTCGACGACAGCCAATATCATCGGCATTCTGACCTTCGCCCTGGCCACCTTGTCCTTCTGTTTAGCCTTCTATGCCGTGACGGCAGATGCGCCGAGAGAGATGAAGAGGTTTGCAGACTACGTGACCCAAAGAAAAGCGCATATCAACGAGATTTCGGAATTCTTCGAGGATAGGGATGTTGAGGCCGACAATGAGCTGGAGAGTTCGTCACTGGGAGACTTGGTATCAGAGTCACTCGGGACCGCCGAGCGGCGTAGGAAAGAACTGCAAGAGAATGTCTACAAGATATGCGGTAGCTCGGCAACGAGCCTGACCAAGAGGATATGGTGGTGGATGGAGCGGCGGGATATGAGTCTAGCGATGGCAGAGGTCGACATGCAGATACATCATCTCACGGCATTACAAATTTCCTTTTTGCTCAGGTAATAATCAAGGATAAGAATCTCTATTTGCATTTGCATTCTGCTAACTGATCCGTCAGGAAAATGAACCGGCAGAGCACGCAGTTAGATGAAGTGGAAAGGTTGGTATCACTTCGCGATGAGATAAGAGTTACTCCAAATCCATTATAATAGAGCAAGATGCTGCGCAGTACAGCACAAATATCGGGGCTTGAATAGTGTATACAAAACCACTAGCAACACATAGCCCATAGCCCACCCGGATGGGTGTTCATTTCTGGATCCGCTACGTAGTCCCGGAAAGTATTTATGAACCAGTTGACATATAGTTGCGATCCATGGATCTTGTGCAACTGTTGAGGCGGCTTTGCAATTCCAAGCACGGTATGTACCCGGAGACCTTGGTCGTTTTAGTGGGCCTTACAAAGGATCTTTCTGTTTGGATGACAGCTGATTTTGCACAGATTATGCAGGAGGCCTACCGCGTTTCTGAATTGGTCAATGGTGGGCGGGTAGGTGCCTAGGCAGGTCACTCCAAAATCCTTCTATCTCCGGGCAGCCTGCTCCATGTATTTATGCCCAACAGGTTCCTTCTCGCTCCCCTCTTCACTGTTTCTTGTTTTTTATTGCTGAGACCGTCTCGTCTCCTTTTGTGATAGCGTGCTCGAATTTTCTATTGCAGTAGGACGGATTACTCGCACAATGACAATTAACAACCAGGCAGCAACGATGAACGACGAATCTGCTCAGGAGATCCCTCCTATAAATCAAGACCCCATCAGAAACGCCGAGGGTGCTCAAGGCGCCAAGGCGCGGATCACAAAGTATCTTGTTGAGCGTGTTCCAGAATTCGCAACGCTCAGTGAGATTCGAGACAAGGCAAGAATTTTTTTCATCATCTGTAGAATAACTTGGTCACTAATCCTACGGTGCTGGAACAGGGCTGGAAGAATGCAGAGGGAGATCGATTCTTCCAGAACCAACGAAGACAAGCCGACGAAGGATCCCATACAACACAAGTGATTCTCAACAACATGATGGGAAGAATCGCAAAAGAAATGCAGGGAGCCACCGGGGCTTTCAAGATCCAGCCGACTCGCTCGAACACCGGACATGAGCCCCAGAAACGTATCCTTGACTGCTGCATGGCCCCAGGGACCTATCTACAAGCCGCACTTGAACACAATCCCGGTGCTCACGCCTTGGCGTTCAGCCTGCCGCCAGAGAAAGGCGGACATCCCTCATTGTTGGTGGACAATAATGAACCTGAGGTCACCATCAAATTACTCGACGTGACCCTACTTGCGGCCGACATGGGCGTCGCACCAGAGCAGATCCCATCAGACCACCCCGATGCCGCGGCGTTCCTGCCGCGTCAGGTTGAGGACGGCCGACACTTTGATCTGGTCATCTGCGACGGACAAGTCCTACGAACACATGCCCCGCACAGGGCGGCATACCGCGAGAGACGCGAGGCGCGGAGGCTCATCCTCACACAGCTCATCCTGGGGCTCGACCACTTGCGGCCTGGGGGCACAATGATTGTGTTGCTGCACAAGCTTGAGGCCTGGGACACCTTGTGCCTTCTACGCACGTTTCATGGGTTCTCTACCATCCAGACTTTCAAGCCTTGGGCGGGCCATCGGAAGCGCTCATCTTTCTACATGGTCGCGACGGACATCAGGGCTGACGGCCCCGAGGCCGTCTCAGCGGTGAAAGCGTGGAAAGAAGACTGGAAACTTGCAACTTTTATGGACGAGGAGGAGTACCAGTCATATACGGAGCGGGCTCATCAGGATGCAGACAAAAATGTTGATGCGCTGCTGACCGAGTTCGGCCGGGAAATAATTCGGCTGGGACGCAGGGTCTGGAGGATTCAGGCCGATGCACTGGCAAGAGCCCCTTTCAATCGGAAGTGAATACGACTCCATGGGTCGGATTTCATCACGATTTGAGTGGTGTAGTGTGTTCGAGATTTCGTCGCAATGGTGTGGATAAAATGGGAGTTTATACATCGATTAGCAAAGCAGATGCATGGCAGATAAAAGTAGAACCGCATGTGTGCCCGTACAACTATACTGTACCTAGGTAGCAAAGCAGTTCTCTTTGACTTTGCTTCTTTCCATATTGTATTCTTTCTGTACTATTGTTTGTACTTTTTTAAACGCCGAGTCTTGAGCGTTTAACACTGTATGGAGGCGCCGCGCACGTTTTTTGTGTATGGGAACAGAAACGAAACCACCCGTTTAAAAGAAATTAAACCTGAGGATCCAACCAGGGCCATTGCCCATTTGAAGATAATTCATTTGGTAATCTTGGGTCTCAGAAAACTTTGTGAATTAGCTACAGGAGTAAAAGTCAACCCAGTCATTATTAACAAGTGCTGGTTGGCGACCTTCCAACCATGGCCATTCCACCCTGGCCATTTTGAGTTGAGACGACGAGGCCCATAGCCTGATGAGGAGTCCCAGCGCGCCGTCTATACTATTCCACCGTCGCTCGTCCCACATGACATAACCCCATCGCCTTAACTCATCGGGAATGTACTCTCCGTACAGGTTGCAGTACTTCCCATCCCACATGAGAACCCAAGCGAGCGGTGGCGCGTTAATGCTGGAAACCACTGCTGCCGCCTCACTAGCATTTTCGGTCGTGTCAGCTGAGTGGGGAGTCGACTCACTCATCGTTAGAATGTCTAATGAGATATTGTGGGAGGAGAAGGTGGAAACGTTGTCATCACCTGTGAACGGCATCGGTTCACCTCTCTCCTCGGCCCGATCTCTGTCGCTGAAGCCATTATCGTATGATTCACGCCTTTCGACTTGGCTCATACCCTCCATACAGTCTCCGAAGAAATGCTCCTGGCTTTGTTTCAGGTACTTGCCCATCAAGTGTACGAGCTTATCGTGATCTTTGATTTTGAACATGTGCAGTGCCAGCCTGAGGCCCCCGTGGCCGATGGTGCCGTTAAGGTATTCTGTTGATCAAGAGGGCACGATCGTCAGTGGGAACGCGATAGCATAGCAGCAAGTAGCACACATACCGTCGTAATCTCGAACACGCGTGAAGGAGTCTTCGGGTTCAGATTCAGAGTCGGGATCGTCCGCAAATTTGGAGCTGTTCGGGTGAAAATCCAACTTGATCTCGGTAACAACTTCTCCGTACCTCTCCTTGATCCACATGTAGACGCAGTCGATCTCCTCAATCTCCCAAGATCCGAACTGGGGGAAGAAGACATGTGCGATCTCTACGTGGGCGAAGAGTTCGTCTCGATCGCCCATGAAGAGATTACAGAATATTTCGAATCGGTAGAAAGCTCGCAGAATCCGCCTTTGCTCCGTTACGCTCAACCCACTCGGCCACGTATTGCATGTTGGTGTTTCCTTTAATGACGCTGACTCTGCCTGCATGCGTTGATCTTCCGTAGCCTTGGCTGCTGCAGACTCGAGGTTTGTTAAAGCCCAAGTGCTGAATTGAGCCGCCAGAGGCTTCACAGTCAATGTATGAAACCAAGCGAGCCAACGGACATCAGCAAGTGACATAGACTTCAACATAGTGGCCAGGTCTCCAGAGCATCGCCACGCCCCATACAAATCGACAAAGTCGGTGATGTCTCGCTGTATTACTACGCGCGGGCCGATCTTGAATGGGCGTGACTTGAAGGCGGCGTAAGCCTCCACCAATAACTCTCGGCCCAAATCATGTTGTAGGCACCTGAAAAGAAGCTGCTTGCGGTTGGACCGATATTGGGCAAAATAGACGGGGGAGGCGTGAATGAGGGAACTCAGTGTCTCCAGGTCTGGCATGTTTTCGAGGATGTGTAACCTAAGCTCAACTGGAAGTCTCTCAAGTGGCGCGGGTTGCTGCTCCTCGTTGGCATCCCTCGTCTCAAGTGTCACTCTGTCTGTTGCCAACTGAGATGCTCCATTCTGATGCGCTGACGCAACATCGACCACTTCGGGATGTCGCTGATCAGGCCCAACTAGGGCTGGAGTTTCGGCTGTGACGCTGTGAACGCTCGGCATCGTCGACATTGTGATTTGCCAGCGGTCGTCTTATGTTCTGTTGTGCTTCCGGTGTGAGCGAACTCAACTTTAGCATGAAGCAGACTGTGCCTGGTTGCAGTTTACTTGCAAAAGCTGGAGGGGAAGTTGAGGATTGCACGATATCCGTGCATGGCTGTCTGTGTCTCGAGTGAAGAGAAGTCAAAGGCGGAGATGCGGACATCTGTCTTCGTTCAGGTCGGTGGGCAGATACCTACCCGCTTTTCTGCGACAGCCCTGGCTAATCAAAGCAAACCAACGCAACCAACAAGGTCGATGTTCTTAATTGGCTGCAAAATACCTAGGTACCGTACCGGAACCCTATGGCTGAATTTTACAGTTAGCAGGCCTTCTTATAAGTACTTTAAAAGATATAATTATTAGTCTACTAATTATAAGTAGCTTACTAATTATAAGTAGGTTTAAGTATAAGTAAGTATTTAATTAGTTAGACTTTAATTAATATTTAAGTTTTTATATATTCATTTTATATATAATAAATAAATTTTATTTAACTTTTTTTTTTAATCTTTTTATAAAATTTATATTAAAAGACTTTCTTAAATAAATTTATTATTATAATATTATAATCTTATTAATAGTTATATATTTAAAATAAAAATAATATTAACTTATTTAATAAAAATAAATTTAAATAGTTATTAAATATATTAATAAAAAAGTTAATTTATTAAATATTTTATTATAAGATTCTTTTTTTAAAAGTTATTTTAAAATTATTTTAAATTTATTATATAACTACTTTATTACTTATTAATATAATAATTAGATAAAAGCTATAAGGAAGTACTTTAAAAATACCTTAATATTTAATTATACCTCTTTTAAAGTTTATTAAAAGTAAGTAAAGTCTATTTATTTTTCTTAAAAGAAATAAAAATTAATTTTATATTAAATTTAAATTTAATAAATTTTAAACCTTTCTTTATTTATATTATTATATTTAATATTATAATTTATTATAATTTTAATTTTTTATATTATTTATAATATTATTAAAAATAAATAATTAAAAAAAATTTTAAATAAATTTAAATAATAATAAGGAAGTTTAAATACCTTTTAATAAGTAATACTTTTATTCAAAAATAAAAATAAAATTAAATTCTTTAATAAAAATAAATATTTTTAAAATAGTTAAAATTATTTTAAAAATTAAATTAAAAATCTAAAGTTAATTAATATTATTTTATTATTTATAACTTATATTTTATAATAATATAATAATTAAATAATAGATTTTAAAAGGGTTTATATTTTTAATTATAATTTTTATAATAATAAAATAAAAGTAATTTATATATTTAATTATATTAATAAAGTATTAAAACTATTAAAATATTTATATAAAATCTAAAAAAGAAAATAAATTTATATTTAATTATTATAAATAAAATAAATTTAAAACTTTTAATAATAATTTTAAAAAAATTTTAAAAATTTTTAAAATTATTTAAAATTTAATTAATTTTATTTATTAATAAAAAATTAAAACCTTTAATTTTTTATTAATATTTTAAAACCAAAGTTAAAATAAAAGTTAAAAGTAATAATTTTAAAGTTAAATTTTTTTAAGTTATAAAGTTAAATTTATTTAGAAATTTAAATTAAATATATTTTAAATTTATTAAATATTAAAAATAAATAATTAAAGTTATTTAAATAATTTAAATTAATATATTTAAATAAATTAAAAGTAAAAATATTAAAAATTAAAAATAAAGTATAAAAAGATAATAAAACTTTTAATAAAAAAAAAAGGAAGCTTTTAAGGTAATATTATAGCTTTTAAGGAAACTTAAAGTTTATTATATATAAGAGGTTAAGGTTAAAGATTTTAAGGTAAGAGTTTATATATTTAATCTAATTAAAATATTTAAAAAATAACTTTAAAATTATTTTAAAATTTAATTCTTTTAATAATAATAAAAGTTAATTATTTATTATTATTATAATAATATTTATTATTATACTTTAAATTATTTAATATTAATAAAAGTTATAATATTTATAAACTAAATTTAAAATTATAATAATTATTAATTAAAAAATTATTAAAAGTAAAGTTAAAATAATGAAAGTTAAGGATTATTTTAACTATTAATTAAAATAGTATTTAAAATAAAAAATTAAATTAATAATTAAAATTTAAAAAAAAATAATAAAAGTTTATAATATTTTTATAATTTTAAAAAAATAATTATAATATAAAGTTAAAAATATATTAAAATTAATTTTAATATTTAAAATTAAATAAATTTAATTAATATTTTTATAAAAAAATTTAATTTAAAAAATTAAATTTTTTTAATATTTATTAAGGGATTAATTATATTTTAATATTTATTAATAAAGTCTTTTAGATTTTTTTAATTAAAGATTATTTTAAAATTAAAGAAAAAAACTTAAAATATTTATTATTAATTAAAAGTATTTTAAATTTATTTTATTATTAAAACCTTAAATTTATAATATTTTAAATAAAATTAAAAGTTATTTAAAAATTAATAGCTTTAATAAAATAACTTATATATTATTTAATAAATTATAAAATATTTTATAAAAATTAAAAATAAAATATTTATTATTATATTATCCTTTTAATTAATAATTTTTAATTTAAATTATAAAAAAATAGTAAGAATTAAAAGAAATAAATAAAAGAAAAAGATTACCCTTTAATTTTTTTAATTATATTTATAATTAAAAAACTTAAAAAGTTTTTATAAAAATTAAAATAAAAAAGCTTCCCTTTTAAAGAAAAATAAATTATATAATTAAATTAAAAAAGAATATTATTATTTTTTACCTTTTATCTATTATTATTAAAGGAGTTAAAAATTTTAAAGAAGTAATTAAAATAAAATTTAAAAATTAAATAAATTACTTTTAATAAAAGTTTAATAAAGGCTTTAATTTTATTTACTTTTAAAGAATAATACTTTTTAATTTTATATTAATTATTAAACTTTTAATAAAATAATAATTAAAAATTATTACTTTTATTATTTATTTTAAAATTTTAAATTAATTATTAAATATAAAATATTTTTAAAATTTAATTTAATAAATATTTATTATTAAATTTATATTTTAAAAAATAAATAAAAATAGTATTTTATATATATTATAATTATTATAAATTTAAAATAATATTATTTAAATTAATTAATATTTTTATTATATTTTAATTATTTATTATAAAATTTTAAATAATTATAAATTAATTATTATTAATTAAATTTTATAAAACTTTAAAAATATAATTTTTTTTTAAAAAATTAAATTTTAAGATTTTTAATTAAAAAGAATTTAAATAGATTCTAATTAAATTAAAACTATTTAAGAATAATCTATTTCTATTATCTATTATAATATTTAAATTTTTTAAATTTTTATAATTTTTATTAAAAGTTTATTAAAAATATTTTAAAATTATTTAACTTTTTAATAAATAATTATTTAATATAAAATAAAATTAAAAGTTTAATAAAATTAATTTATTTATATTTAAAATTTAAAAGTTTAAAATCTTTAAAAAACTTAAAGTTAAGTTTTAATAAATATTTTTACTTTAATATTATAACTTAATACTTTATATTTAAATTAAATATAATATTTTAATAAAATAATTACTTTAATAATCTTTTAAAAATATATTATTAAAATATAATTTAATAATATTTTATTATTTTTAATTAAAAAGTTTATTAATATAAAACTTAATTAAATAATTTATAATAAAAATTAAATATTATTATTAATAGTTTTAAGTATTAATAATAATATTTAAAGGAGTTTAAAAATTTATTATTATTTTTTAAATTATAATAATTTTTATAGTTTTATAAAATAAAAAATTAATTTAAAATAAATTTAATAATTAATATATTTAATTAAATTTAATTTTATTATTAAATACTACTTTAATAAAATTAATTTAATTAATAAATTTTTAAAAGTTTAATTATATATTAAAGGAAAAACCCTTAAATATAAATTAAATTTTAACTTTAAAATTAAAAATAATTATAATTATTAAAAGAATTAATAATTTTATTTAAAAGATTAAAAATAAATTAAAATTTAAATTATAATTAAAATATTATAATATATAAAGTTTTAAAGATAACTCCTTTTTAATAAAGTATTAACTTAAATTTATAACTTTTATAAAAGTAATTTATAATAAAAATTAAATCTAAATATATATATTTAATATTAATATAATATATTTAAAGCTTTATTTTTATTTATAAATTTAATTTATAAAACTTAAAAAGAAAACTTTATAATTTAAATTATAATTAAAAATATAATCTTAAATAATATTATTTTAAATAGTTTTAATTATAAAATTTAAAATAAACTTTTAAAAAAATATATATATATATTAAAATAAAAATCTTAAAATAAAAATTTTATAAATCTATTATAATAATTTATTAAATAAATATTAAAAATAAATTAAAATATAAATTTTTTTAAAAATATTTTTAATAACTTAAATTAAAAACCTTATAATAAAATATATATACTTTTATATAATATATTAATATATATTTATATTATATTATTATTTATATAAAAGCTTATTTTATTATTAATTTTATTAAAACCTATATAAAATTTAATATAAACTTTATAATTAAACTTTAACTATTATTATAAATAATAAAAATAAATTTAATTTTAATAATTATAAATTATTTTATTAAAATAAGTTTTTCCTTTTAATTTATATTATAATAAATATTATAAAACTTAATAAAATTTTTATATAAAATATTAAATATAAATAAAGATTTTATAAAAGTTATTATTAATTAAAATATAATTTTATAAATAATTTTTAAAAATATTATATAAGTTTAATAATATTAAAACTATTATATTACTATTTATTATTTATAAAATAATAAATAAATAAAAAAATAAATTAAACTTAAAATAATATTTAAAATTATTTA